CGCTCGAGGAAATCGACGATCAACGGGAGTACAGGTGATACACGTGACAGGTGAGATATCTCGCTAGAACGAATCTGTGCCCCCCAAGAATAGTACATGGGCCATGGTCGGGCCGGGAACGGCCCAGACCGTCCGTAATACTGGCTTGAAAACATGTTTAGTCGGACGCAGACACTCAAAGTGGCCGAGTTATGCCGGCCTTGCTATTACTGCATTATTCACAGAACGAGACGAATAGTACGCCTAAATGAGAGACATCCAGACGGCCATCTCGTGCAACCCCAGGAATGAACCTCCTCTACATTTCTATATTATTTCTACTGATCATATTTGATATTAACGGAAACATCAGAAGTTTGTCGCATTCCTAAACCCCTCCTGGCCTACGTTTTCATCAAACTGGCCTTCCAAAGCTGAGCTTTCCCCATAACTTTGACACAAAACCCGGAAAAATCATTGAAAACCTAAATGTTTCACATGTACGTCTAAGAAGCCTTCGTTTTGAGGACCTTTTCAACAAGCAAAGACTTCGTTACCTTCGTCTGGATATATTACATATGCGTAGTAATCCATGGTAGTGGTTGTGGTTGGAGCATCAGTCGTAGTTGATGATTTAGCAGTAGTGATAGGCGGTTTTGTTGTAGTCGATGATTTAGCAGAGGTGGTGGGTAGTTTTACTGAAGTCGATGATTTGGTAGTAGTGATAGACGGTTTTGTTGTAGGTGATGATTTGACAGTAACGGACGACGGTGTTGAACTCTTTGTGGGGGCCGTCCCAGTAGTGTTGGTTGCTACTGAACCAACTAAGGTAAGCTCGCACAGCAACAGTAGAAAGGTGAATGTCATTTCGGCTGTCAACGGGGTTTTATGTCGTTTCGTCCATCTCCCATTTCTATCCATACAAGCTTTGAAGCCGAACCTGAAATACACTTAGCACTTCACTTGATCTTCAAACTGCCTTTTTTCAAGTATTCCATTAGAACGTCCAATAAGCTAAATGCAGTACAGCACTTCAGAAATAAAATAATACACAGTCTACCCCAGTTTACCTAAGAGAAGCGGACAAACAAAAACAAAAAATTAGTATTCCGTACAGTAAGCCCCGACTCGAGAAATTTAAGGAAATTCACGAGACTCAGGATTTTCTTTGAACTGACATTCAGGTACCGGAGGCAACCACAAGGTGTGGAGATGTGAATGAAGCTGAGAGGAAAACTAGTAGCTCAATAAGGCTGTAGATCGACCTCTTTCAAACATTTTCACCTGCTCAAGTCAAAGATCGGTTTGGTATCAACACAAGACCAATGAGTTCACCCCTGCCAAGTTATATGCAGCCCTTTTCCATGCTTTCTAGGTCTTGAATGGGCAGAATTCATTTCGAAAGAAGAGCAGTTGGATGGGGAGCATTTATTTCAAGGCGAGCGGTTGGAAATGTTGAAAGAAAAATCCAAAAATCGAAAATTATGGGCGAAGGTAGTGCAAAGGCAAGAAGTGTCCTTTCACACATGCATGATCCTGAGATCGAATCTCGGGTCGATATCCGAACAGGCCAACGAACCTTCCACCCCTCCAGGACTTATTAATTGATACCATACTTGTCTGGGAGAACTTGTATGTCCATCGACTGCACAACTCATTGTGTATGCTTCATACGCATTCAAAACGCCGTGACGATCTTGAGAAGAAGTCGGACACGGGGCGCATCCAAGGGTTTGAATAACTCTAAAACTTTGCTTTCTATTCATCAGGTGGAAGCCCATAGGGGAGGCTCCATTATGTCACATATTTTTGTCCTACAATGGGTAGATCATTGTGGGTGGGTTGTTGAAGTGTGTGTGCGTCGATACTTCATGGCCACCCTGTGCACCCTCCCCACCCTCCAATTCCCACTTGTTTGTCGGCAGTACTTACAAGGAAATCGAGTCTTTTCATGTTGAGTATGACTTTTTCCAACTGCTTAGCCATAGGAAGCTATACCTGTACATTGCATCTCTATTGAATCGAGTGGCATTACAGGTGCCAATTACTATTTTTTCATTTATGCTGGGTATTCATCAGATTTGAAAAAACGTCGTTGTGGAGTAATTGAACCTGTTATCATGGATAAGATATTTACCTATCCCAAGAACTGCAGAACTTAGAGGAACGCAGAAAATTCGGAAAATTCAGAAATTCCAAATCAACCGGTTACTAACCAGTACTGTAGTAGAGTATTTCCTGATTTTACACTCTCACTTTGAACAATATCCTAGCGACCTCTGTTCGTCGTGATCCGCCCAAAAATACAAACCCGTTTCCGTCCCCACGAAGGATTCTCCATCTCATCTTTACCCCCTCTACTCCCTCCTTTGTTTTGGCGTAATGTCTAATGTAGTTGGTGCAGCTGCACTTAACACGAATTATTTGACAGCTTCTTTTAGCCAATTCGAATATTACGGGGTAATCTCTTTGAATTTGAATTTTCTAGAAGCTTGGAGTCAATTTAGATCTTACTACAAGTGTATTTCCCTTAGCACTTGTGTGCACTGCTGTTAATCCTGTCTTTCTACCGATAATCCACCTGTTTTCGAATTCTTCAAAAACTCCATCAATGTGTGAACTATCTGTGATCTTTTTTTTTGTTTTTCGGAGTAATCTCCGGATATCTCCTAATTGGCAGGGTATGATTCTTATCCTTCCCAAAGTTCCATCAGATCATAATTGATCCTGGCAGAAGAGGGTGAATCTAGGAAGGTTCATCAGCATACCTCAATTGTGAAATGGTCCTGCGGTTTGGTCTCAACTTGTCTTATGATGGGACTTACCAGGGGCGAAGTAATTAATAGGCCGATTTTTCGAATGTCATTGTCAAGACTCACCTTAATTTGTTCCTCTCGATTGTTGTTCAATTTTGTACTTCTCCATGAATTCGGTGTTTCCAGCTCAATCGCAATTTTGCTATGACTGAGTCTCCACCACCTCCCCACGATTTCACTGATCACAAGCAGCATATGCAATGGCTGGTAAGATCCCTACTTTCCTTTATTTCATCATTGCCTTCCTTTGCTTATTTTCTTCAATTTAATGCACTTTTTGTAATTAGTTTAGGTCGAGCGTGAGAAATATGCACAAACAGTTCCCATGATACCACAAGATTTCTCCAGTGAGTTTTGCACATTTGCTTTTTTGCAAGTGACGTGATATCTGCAATTCAAACCTTACTATTCTTTGAATATAGGTGCTTAGAATTCAGATCGCCTTCTGATAATGCATACCAACTACAAGCACCCATATAATTGCCTGTGACTCACATTACACCGGTGGCCTTTATATTTTGTGACAAATTCGTTTCAGAAGGATCTCACAGCAAAAGCATGTCCTCCACTGTCCTTCAAAGAGCTCTGAGTAATCCATTTGTTCCTATCGGTATGGCTGCAACAGTGGGATGTCTCGTTGGTGGGTACTGATGCATTTTTCTAAAAGCGAACAACATTACCTACAGTCACCACGTTTTACTGTGTTTTGATGTTAGTTAGTGTTGAAGTTCAGGTATGCTGAGTGCAACTTTAAAACGAAAACCTAATCAGGCACAGCTTTTCATGCGTGGCCGCTGTCTTGCTCAAGGATTCACAGTTGCTGCTTTGGTGTACGGGGCGATCTATTTTGGTGGGTTTCTATTCACCATATTTCTCCTACCCTCGTTCTCCACTTCCTATTCAAGTTAGTGGATTTTAGTTCTATGTACTTCGTCTCGGTATATTTTCCTGTTTACATTGCTACTTGACTTCCTTTTTCCCAGTCTCGTTATGTTCACTATGATGTGAAGTCCACATGATATCAGTCTCGTTATGTTCACTATGATGTGAAGTCCACATGATATGATCCTTTCGCCACTCCACCAGAAATCGCTCTTCTTCAAATCGTCTAGTTATCCTTTTCACTCTTTTCTTTTCAGGTCTGAAACCAGAAGGAATGGGTGTTTCCGTAGAGGATCGTACTAGCTCGTTCCCCGGTAAAATGAACAAGGCTTAGATTCCTTACGTGTTGGAGTCTCATAGTGTGACCAGCATGTTTTCTGCATGTTTACTCATGAGTTTGAATCTCTAGTTCGAGAAATCGTATTTCAGAGATAGTCCAGATTCTTACGAGTACTAGTATGTTGTCTTCCATTTTCTAACCTCATATTGTTTGTATAATAATATAGAGTTTGTTCGTTTGTTACGTTTATTTATAGAATTTTATGATAAAGTTTTATACATTCCTCAAGATGTCAAAAAATTAGTTGATATCTAATATATTTATCTGTATCTTGTGGATCATCGTATTGTTATTTACTGGAAGAT